TCATGCTGTCGATGATGATGATGATGATAATGATGATGATTGCATTCACTCAGAACAGACCTATCTGGCTTTCCCATATATCGATACAAACGACCTGATAAACGTCTAAATCCCATTTTATTTAAACAAATCTTTTTGACAAAATAATTGTCACCATTCCAAGCTCAGAATTGTTGATCATTAGAACAGTCTATCTAGTGAGGTACTACGTTTCTCAGGATAATGACTCTAACGGGAGGGGGAAGATGAAGGCAGTTAGTCGTTGATAACATTCGTAGTAGTATAGATCGATTCAAGAGTCATAAATCATGGGTTTGTGCTTACCTTGACTGTAGATTGGCTAGTCTATTTTGTTTGCCTAAATCCATGTTGTCTATTGGCTACCGTTCGTAAAATGCCTGACCCGGGTTTTATTCTCTGTACTACTATGTGGGTTTCCCTACTACTCGACTGACATTTCCCAAAGCTAGACGGTACTTCGTCGGACTTTTTTCCTCTCAATCGATCTCTCACACACACGCACTTCTCAATCGAAAGTTACTTAGTGTGCACTGTTAACTAACAAGAAAGGGAAATATGCCGTTGGTTGTCCCCTGGAATGATCGATTCTCATATCCGATTATAAGTTTTGTGAAAATCAATGGTCTCACCCTGCCGGAAAGACTTGAAGCAGGTGATTCCTAACACCCTAACGCTATTTATAAGTGAACGGGATATGGGCTGTCTGTGGCAGTGAGTTGCTTCTTCCAAACCGTTTGAAATCGCGCAAAGTATGGTGGAAGAGGAAGAATCAGTGCGTGTGAAAAACTATCTGGCCAAGCTTCGTGATCCAGTCACGAATAGATTTCATTCGGTGACTGCTAGGGAATTTCTTGAATGTTGGCAACATTATGATAAAGACGGGAACGGTTATCTGGAAGGAGCTGAACTCGACGGATTCCTAAGAGAGTTCATTAGCAGCGTTATTCCGGGAGACATCGGTGACGAAGTTGTGTCGGAGATAGCTTTAGCACAGCTCAAATCGGAATTTATGGAAGCCTACGATGACAACGGTGATGGTCGGATCGATATTAATGAGCTCGCCCAAATTTTGCCAACTGATGAAACTTTTCTTGCGTTGTTCCAACATGAAGCTCCTTTGTCGTCGAGCGTGGAATTTATGCGTGTTTGGAGGCAATTCGATGAGGACAATAGTGGTTACATTGAACAGAATGAACTTCGAGGCTTTCTGAAGCACTTACTTGCTCGATCAAATGTGGAAATAACGGATGAGAAACTGGATGACTACACAAATACATTCTTGATCCTGTTCGATCGCGATGGTGACGGAAGATTACAGCTGAGCGAAATGGCTCGACTGCTCCCCGTGAAAGAGAACTACTTGGTAAAGCCGCTGTTCAAGAACACGAAGGGTATCGATGAACGTACGGTTGACAGAATATTCCGAAAATACGACACCGATGGAAATGGAATTTTGGAAGATGAGGAACTCTTAGGATTCCTGAAGGATTTGCTGGAGGCCGGGGGCGGGGAGTTCACTGAGAAACGAATGGAGGAAATGAAGAACTCTATACTTTCACAGTGGGATGTAAACCATGACGGGAAGATTGGTAAGGAGGAACTGACAGACCTTATTTTACATACAGTGCGTATAACACAGGAAGCAGAGGCCCTCACGCGTTACCAAGACTAATTCGAGCTAGTGTGAATTAGTTGCCTGTCTTTTGTTGAGTCCGTTTCTTCGCGATTTTTTCTTCACACTTTGACGCCCCAGCTGTCTCATTGTTATTCCTGGAGTTTATTGTACCCAATGCATAGAAACGCTGTTATACACAGTTCTCATACATTCACTGACACTTGATCGAGGACGGACAATAAATGGTTAGTTGAACACAGTTCGTTATATATTTGTAATGTACTACTCATAAGGTTGCTGAAAATCCGTTGACAGCCCACAACCGGTTTTGCCCTTTTCTGGGCTCATCAGGTAGGCGCAGTCCCCGGATTTCCGTCAACCTTATGTTCTATTTGAAATCCAGTTGCACGAAATTAGCGAATATACACTCAGTTTTTCGAGAGACTCACCTGGAACCCATCACCTGGAAACATCACAAACGAGAGGTTCAGCTGGGTTCCAGGTGAGTCTGTCGAAAAACCAAATTAGTTTGCAAATGAGTGGACATTCATTAACATAGTTCGTCAGTTTCACTGTGAGTGTTCAACTCCTTCAACCGAACCGTAAGTAGCTGTTGAAAGAAATTCGGTTGGAATTAGAGGTGCATTCGATTTCGTTTGAAGGGCTTTTGACGCACACGTTGTACCTAACTATTATTTGTTGGCAAATTCAGTTCTAGTGTAGTCGCACATTGTCGGCTGCTTAAGTGACTTGGCACAACCGCGCGAAAAAATGGATGAATTAACTTTCATGTCTTGATAGGAAGGCGAACATGCCCACGAACTTTCGCCTTTTTCAGACAGACAGACTGCTGTCCTCAAATTATTGTGCAACGGTCCTGTGAGGCACTGATGCCCAAACTTGCGACTCACTGCTCTCCTGGTTCCCTAATACGGCTACAGCTACCGTCACACATTCAGCTGGAGGCGTGCTAGTATTTTATTGTTGAACATGCTGTAGCGTGTGATCCCTTCAAAAAGAGACCCCTCTGAAACAAGCTCGGTACTTAGCGAAACAGAAGCAAACAAAATGTTCGTCGTGCAAGAGACTCGCCTGGAACCCAGCTGAATCTATCGTTTGTGATGTTTTCATGCAACTCAACGTGCTGCACCAGGCCGCCTCATGTTTCAGTCGGTACTACGATATTCGAGATATCGCGATACATGTGTGTACTGCGCCTACCAGAAGAGCTGGGTGAATGGCGAAACCGGTCGTGGTCGGTCGATGAATTTTCAGTAAACTTATAAGTAGTGCAAGGTTCAATACTTCTTTTCCAGCTGCGGTCTGACTTAGAGAAGAACGACGCTTCATGTGATGAGCAGCAATGGTACTTAAAAATTAACCGATAAATATATGACTTGCAGTTACTCAAGAAAGACACAATGTCTCCAGATAGAATAATTGAGTCTCATTTTGAAATTAGGAAAACCGTTTCCTCTAAGTGGGCGCTGAAAACAGTATTCAATCTACGATTACAGATAACATGTATTAATGTATTTGTCTGTACAGCCTGAATCCCAACTCACCTGTTAACTCTTCTTACATGTTTGTTACTACTAGTTAAATACTAATATCCCAGCTCCAAAAAAACTTCCGGTGCCCAACTGCCAAGCCACTGGAACGAACTACGAGGGATCTGAGATACTGTCAGGCTGCCCAAGCCTGGACAGGAGCGGTCAAGATGAAGAGACTGAGTTATAACCACGCACCCCACCCCTGGCCAGTAAATCCGCGCGCCTGAGCGATCTCGGACTTATTTGAAAACACGTGTTAGCACAAGGTTTTAACCATAAACTTTATTGCAACGCCGATGTCTTTAAAATCCAGAGACTCGGTCAGAAATACCTGGTGATTTTTCCTTCTGAAATTTTTGTGACATGCACTCATAAGTTCTTCCATGTCTGCGATAGCAAGAGAGCACGTAGCACGGTTGGACAGAGGAAAACCACAGATGCACTTGGCTAACAACTTAGTCTAGTTAGATATCCTGTTTGATATCGTCGTAACCAATTATTTTCGACCGAATTTTGATCAACTAGGTATTGTTCTTTACAAGATTGTAGCAAATTCATTGTGGTAACTTGCTTTGTGGAAGAACTTGGGAGGAATCGAAAGGGATTAGAGATCCTTTCATGTTGATCAGTAATCAGCGTTTGTAAAGGGTTTCCAGGTCTGTTTGACTTTAGATCTGGGCGAAAACGCAGTAAGTAAAACTACTCAAAAATATTGCTGAAACAGGCTGTGGGTTGTCGAAGAGTTTTCAGGAAATCTGAGACTAGTTTCATTTATAAAAACATGCTGCGATATCTCGAATATCGTACCAACTGAAACATGAGGCAGCCTTTGCTCGGCGCATTTAGTTGAAAAACATCATGAACGGGAAACTCACTTGAGTCCACCGCGAAAACAAAATTGATTTGCCAATGAGTGTGTTTGTCGCAGTAGATGAAATTTCTGTTGTTTTGGTTTTACAGAAGTACTACTCAATTAGCAAACAACTGGTTTGTTTAAATACGCAAATCCATTGTATCAAGGGGAGAAGAACGTGGACATTGTCTTACATGATAATGCAGAGACGGCTGTCTGAATTTTCACAAAATGCAAACCACGCTAATTACTTATAGATAGCGATTCACCGCTTATTCTCGGTCGCTTCCAGTTCCGCTCTACTCCGCCGTGCTTATATTTTACAGCAGGTCTAGCATACCAGGTTTCTAACCTTAAGCAGCATTAACATCTAACACCAAAGATAATTAGTGGTGGATCACCCTGTTTGGCAATTCGCTTCCTCATCCTCGGTCGCGCTAGTGTACAGTTGACTAGGTACTTTTTCCTTATCTGCTTATTTATATAGTTTTCGAAGTATGTAGATAAAGTAAGGTAAGCACTGACAATACCTCCTGAACTGGAAGTGCACACTGGTCGTATGAATAACCCCCTTTCGCATGGATAGAATATCCGTCTTTCACGCGCAAGATGAGTGACCTCGCAATTCTCCTCTGCATTGCTGACACTGTAATTGAAAACAACGAACAATGGAAGCAAAAAGGGTACTTCCTCCTAAACAGCACAGTATATCGTGCTAAACAGATTACTACAACCGATTGTTTCGTTCTTCTTGTTGCACGTAGCGAAGTAAGGGTTGCGCACTCAGCTCATTATGTTCCACCGATAACTTCATTATGATAACTCTGATGTTCAGATTTCTTTCAAAAGGAACATCTTCGGCGTGCTCATAACAATATCAGTGCAACATAACCGCTGTTACTAACTCTTTTCAAGCTGAGCACCAGCCATAAAGTCAAAATATTCCCTCGATGGAAGCGTATCCTTGTGGTGCGGAATGCTTTTAACCCTTCGAAATAAGAGATATGGTGTATTCGAGTGTTTTGAGTGCTTTTCACGTGCACGACGGAAGCCATATCTCGCACCTTTAGAGGACAACTATCTAGGAAGAGTCACGGATAAAAGTATCAGTCAACTGCCCCAAGAGCTCATACTGTTAACAACAGTAAAACAAAACAACCTTTATGAGCATATTAAGGGATAGTTGGCTACCGAGATGTTAGTAAGAAAGCTGAATAATGCTATAAAGAAACGCGCCAACAGTGTCTAACTGTTGTATAGCATCAAATGTCACCACTTTTAACAATAACAGTTGGAGTTCGAATGTAGTTACCCATCTTAGAAAACAGACAACAGCAATACAAGGGAACCGGTTAGTAGCCAGGACAGACATTCAGTTGTCAGGTCAAACACCAGTCGACACTTAACGACCTACTATGTACACTTGTTACTAGATTCTGCAGCGAAACTGAGCAATCGTCTGGTTTCCATGGTGCGAGTTTTGTGATTAACTCTAAAGAACTAGCCAAGTCAAAGCGCCCATCATTATGTCAAAACACTCACAGACATACGCACTTACACTTACAGACAATAATGTCAAACGTATACTGTGATAGCTCACTTGTTACTCTGGATATGGCTTTTCCTCTCCGACAGGGATTAATTCATTCTTGAAACCGGAAGAGGGTAGGTTTTTCTTTGACTCTGGAACACTCCTGTCTCGGGAAGATTGTGGTGGAAAACATATTGCGTGCTAAAATTGCCTTCCTGATGGAGGCATTCCCCGTTTGGCGGAGTTACTCGTGGGCAGATTATTTTCGTCTAATACTGAACCTTCTTTGAGATACGATAGCGCTCCTTTAATCGACATGTGTGCATTCAGTGCTACAGTGCACTTTGACGTCTTTCAGAAATAATGTTAGTGAGCGACAATGATATCACAGGTTTGGGCTTTGGAAGTGTTGCGATAAAACTGTATATGAATGTTGAATGACTCGAATTCAGCAGAGTGACAGTTAGAAGGCTGCACCTACAAAGTTATCCGACTGTGTGCTCGTGATCAATGTAAATGACGCCACCGTGCATTTGTGGAAAAATTGCCCACTGATATACGACACTACGTGCAACAATTGCGTGCTATTTAGACTTGTCCATCATTCCTTGAAGCGGACGAACTAAGCAATCAAGCAACGTTGAGAAAACTGTCCTCCCTTTCTCAGGACAGATTACGAACCGCAGTTCTCGATACTTCATGGGAACGGCCCCATGTCCATGGGCCGCCAACGCAAGGTCATCCAAATCGCATATGATCCGGAATTTCGGTAAACCACTTTATTGATGGGCGAGATAGCTCAAGTGGTTAGAGTGCGAAGTTACTGAACGGAAGGGTCCTGGTTCGAACCCGACCTCTGCCTCTTGACTTCCCCTGTTTAGGAAGCGCATAGCTGTCGTGCCTCCTTCGTGTGGCACGACAGCTAGGCACCGAAAGAGTTCTACAGCTGAATATTTTTTTAAAAAAATTATGAGAAGTTTCAGAAATTCTAATCAAGGTTTCGTCCTTTATGTGTAGTCAATTTGTACTAAGTTAATCACAATATTGATTGGTCGTTCGAACTTCTACCAATCGGTAGGTCGCGGATTTCATACTCGTCAAATGCTTGCCCAGCTGGTGAGCCCCAGTACAGATGAAACAGCTATCCAGTGCTTCTCGATTTTTCAGCACAGCTTGGCCGCAGTAGGAAGAAAACCTCAATCTAAAAGCCGCGCGGCTCCTCACACTACCAACAATCTATAAGTAGTCCATAGGAAAAATAACCTTACGAGTGAAATTTCCAACTGAGACGTCAACGTGCGACTACATGATGTGGACTCCACAAACAAACGAGTGGAGCTAAATCCCGTCTAACTGTCCTCTTATGGCCCAACGGTTAAGTGTTCAGTCTGCTGACTGGGAGGTTGCTGTTCGAAACTAACAGTGAAAAAAGGCTCTCGCTGCGGAAGTGCCTATCAGGGAAACACCAACTGAACAGTTACGAGGCTGGGAGGTTGCTGTTCGAAACTAACCGTGAAGAGAAGAAGGCTCTCGCTGCGGAAGTGTCTACCAGGGAAACACCAACTGAACAGTTACGGACTATTGGATAGGGAAGCAAAACTCTCATATGCATCTTGTTTATGAAAACAGTATATCCGACTTCTTCTCGAACAGGTCTTCCTGAACTTTCCTGGATATTCATAGACTATCACTCAAACGCAAACGAATGCTAAAAGCGATTCTACAAATTACGTAACAAATCTCACTATTCAATAGACACGAAACGGATTTACGAGAAAACCACATACTACTAGTATGCCTCGTCAGCATCAGCAGTATGCACCGTTACACTCGTAGTTTCGTGATATATGCAGTGCTAATTTGACAATGAGGATAAAATAGTTGTATGATGCCCATGAAAGTTTCTCCACAGCCTTCGAAAAGACTGCAATGTCTCTTGACATGCTAATTGCAGAGCTCTGAATTCAACATCCGTGAAATGTACCGGTCGTGTATTTTAGTCCGAAAATTCAGGTGGAACACGCATAAGATAGCATGCTACGTAGATTTTCGCATTCAAAGACAACACATTTCCTTAAGCTTGCATTCTGAAGTTGTCAACCACGAGTCAACAGAGCAGTCAAACAAGTTTGCGCGTTGGAACTGTGCAGCGGGACATGCATTTTTGGAGCACATTTTATTGATTGTTGGCATTGCACCCCATGATGTAGAACTTCTACACCAACGATTTCCGCTTGTTTGGGAACTGGCGAGTGCTAACTTGCCACAATCATTCCGAGGTGCCTACACCTCCAGACATTCACTCAGGCAATCTGGGTAGAAACTGACAACAAGAACGCCACTGACATCGGTTGGCAGCTATCTTGCAGTGTCTCCAACCAGGCACAGGGAGGATCACCAAGTCCCCATCCTGGAAGGTGAGTGGCACCGACAGCACCCAAGCTTTTCGTGATCTTCTCCACACTCCTCTGCCAAATCACGGGTTGGCCACCTTATTGCTTACGCCACTCTGAAGTGGGCATGGAGAACAGCACTCTCTTCGGCAAGCGACGGTCCGGCATACGCAACACATGACCGAAACTGGTGTTGGTCTCAGGTAATAGACTCGTAGGCTTTCTCAGACAGCGATTCACAGATGAATTGATGAGAACAGATCTACCCAAAATTCCAGACTGTTGACAGCGGTTTCTGCGACCTATTGTGCGGTGCAGCGCTTCAGGTTTCAGTGGAGCCAACCTCCTAGTCATCGAGTCATTTCTTATCCGGATCCAAGCATAGGATATGTAACAGTGGCCGATGATGATGGAGCCTTTTTGGAGGAAGATACATCTTAAGGGGTTATTTCAGAGTACACAATGAATAGTTTTCGTACGCTGCTAAGAGCAATGTCCGGGTGGTTACTGAAATGCCAGTTAGGGAAAGCCTATATCTTTGAAATATTCAACATAAACTGGTCCCCAGCAAGCAAAAAAACAGGCAGTCTAGATGTGGATTGCTCGTTATGAGGTTGGGCTATTGTACCCAGTGCTTCGCTTATCATGACCGGTTAGAAACGCAATGCAGTGAAAAGAACGATAATGTCCAGAGCCATTGAAATGCACTCGAATGACGTTAACGTTGCACAAAAGGTAAACAGTTCCGATATCCATACATTCACCATTCTCAGTAGGAACTGAAATGCAGCTCGCTAGGAAAGCGAATAGATAAGACTGGAAATATAAGACATCGCTAAGGCGCACACAAAAGGACACTCCTAAGCAACAAAAGAAAGTAAGTCCCGTACTGCTAACTATTCATCGGCAGCGGCTGGGAAAGTCACCTCCAGGATAAATGAAATCTTTCCTCAGATATTATCATAAACGGAGGCAAAAAAGCCGCAGTTAATTCTTTGGTCCTGGGGGAAATACATAATGAGGATCGGCGGAGAATACAATTGGGCAGGTCTGACTGTACACGATGTTAGGTATTATCATAAACGGAGGCAAAAAAAGCCGCAATTAATTCTTTGGTCCTGGAGAAAATACATAATGAGGATCGGCGGAGAATATAATTGGGCAGGTCTGACTGTACACGACGTTACAATAGGAACAATCGTCAGTGATAACCACACACGGCCCAGCAATCGAGGCTGTAAAACTACTCCGGATGTCATCCACAGTAACAAGGATGACCTGCTGATTGAACCGACTAATTGAGTGGCGGAATTTCATCTCAGTTCGATGTATTCGCTCACAAAAGGGGTGCGATGGTCGTCATAACGATAACTAACACTCCCCGTGATATAGATAGGTTCATCAGTTGTGGGTCTTTAGCTGCCGACAGATGCTATCACTGTATCGAATGTCATCAGCTGACAAATGGGCTAACTGGATAATGTAATGCCCTAGTAAGGCGGTTGATTCGCTTATACCCAATCTCTACAGGACCACGCCCACTTTTACGGTGAAGGCTTGTTCCCCGTGAATTTGCAGCAACAGATGAACAGGGGTAATAGAAATTAATGCAGAGGGATTATGAGAAACACGCATACGGTTGAAAACAGCTCGATTACGCCCGAAAATCGAAGACTTGAAAGCGAATGTAAACCAAGGTTCAATGGGTAGCGCTGACGGGCAAATCACAGTGCCCACAGGAAAACACCCACGCAGTAAATCAAAACTACTTGCACTGTACCGAGTAGTGTATAAAACATCCACGAACTATCAGCCAGAAAGCGAAAAAAAGCAAATTATTTGATTTTTTGTAAAATATGCATCCTGACCGGTGAATTGTACACTTCCGAAAAATAAGGAATATAAAAAGACCGAAAGAGTGAACAAAGATAAGGATACTTCTCGGTAAGAGAGCCTAAGGCATCCGATTTACAAGAGCGTGGCTCCAGAATGGTGCGATTAGCAACCGATGTCCACTTATCAGATTGCGCTACGTATAGCTCTTCACGAGTTCCAGGTGTCGAATCTCGATCCATGATAAAATCACAGCGCTCGGCTCCTCCGGATAAAAATCGATCCGGTTCTTCTAGATTTTCCACATTGAAGTGACTGCCATCAACACGAGTAGAATCAACAACACGTGCCTCCGACCCAACAGGTTTATACTGTCCGGGTAACTGACCAGAAAAGTTTGAGGGTAAGTAACCTACATCCCATTGTTCTCCGCCCTGTGGTAGCAAAAATCGACTGGGGAAGTAGTGCCAATCACGACCTAGACATAGTATGGACTTTGTGTCAGAAACCTGATTGGGAAGATGACGAATCAAATAGACTGGGGCGTTATACCAACGGACAAGTGCAGCTATGCGAGAAAAACTGAGCAAGAGGAACAAAACAACAGTAATACCAGAAACTATGGTACAAAAATATTTGCCTATGTTCCTGCATCGTCGGACATTGGAAATCAGTTGGTTCATATCCCACATTAAAAGGGCCGCACCCAAAACTAGAAACGGGTAGCATGGGTATAGAAATCGTTCTTCTTTGTGTGGTTGGACAAAAAACACCACGTTCCATGTTAAAAGAGGTAGGAAACAAGAAAAGTAGATATCTCGTCTTGCAAGAGTTCTTGCAGGAACGTTCCGCAACTGTCCACGACTATCTCGTCGTGAGAAAAACCAGATGAACAGCGAGTAAAGTGAAAACAACGCAAAACAACAACTCAATGGGACAAGTACGTTAAAGTTGAGAAGGTAGTTTTTCACATAAAAAGAGGCCGGTTCAACTCCGTATAAAACAGAAGCGCTGCCAGAAACATTGGTGGCTTGGGAAAACACATTGTAATGCACAATATTCCACGGCGCTAGCACTACCCGCCCGAAATAAAACGAGTCGACCAGAATCATGGGAACAATAAAGACTACAGCCCAGAAGATCGACGACGCAAGTAGCTGGGTAAACCGTCTGATGAGCATCATATGTAGTGCGAGTGGTAGACCCAACAAAGCAGCGAAAGGCCAAAGCACAATACCCATGAATGCTGTGCATCCGACTGCCAGTGTGAAGTTTCCGTTAAGCCACATAGCAAGCATGAAGGTAGCAACAGTGGCAGCAATCCCACTGGGTACAAGACTAGTCGAATACAAAAAGTGACCGGGCGAGAGGCAAAGAAAACCGACGAAAAGGAGGGGGAAAGGGATCCCAAAAGCCGACTGATTGTGACTCGTTGTGAGTTTCTGCAAAACCGACGCCAAGATTGTGACCGCCAACGTGCACAAGAAAGCCAAGTGCAGACGAACAAACAGAAAAGCAAGCCATGTGGGGCTTCCAAGTTGCACAGCTATAAAGGCCGGCCAACCAAACACCCAAAGGTAGAAGAACGATCTTAGTCCATATACAGGTGAATATTCCCAGGTCTGAAATCCACCACCTTCACCCAAAGTGACCAGAAAGTGCAACGGTTCCCAGTAGTTGTACACCTCGTCACAATCATTGAGGACGTTGAACAACACACTGAATAGGGCAAAAGTCAACGCAATTTTAAAGGACAACCAAACGTAAGATGGTGCGGCATGTTGTTTCTTGATCGTAGATGTCTCCGGAGTGGGCATTTGTCGCTGCAAAATAAAAACAACGAGATTGAGTAGGTCTTGAATGAGTTAGATGAGCTCGTCAAAACGAATTAACAGGCCTCGCTGAAAATGAATTTAACAGAAAACTAAACAGGTTTTATTGCGGCAGGCCTGTCAATTGTGTTCTTCTGCCACATGCATTCAACAGGCCGGAGACAGGAAACAGTTGTTAAGAAAAAAAGAGGGTTGACGGCATGACTATGGCGCACACTCCCACCCAACGAGTCTTTGGGTTAGAGAAGCTGTTTTAACCAAGCTGATTAATGGGTAGAGATTGGCTCAGCTACAGCATCCTTTCAGTGCCTAACTGCCGTGCCACAAGAAGGAAGCACGGGGGCTAGGATACTGCCAGGTTGCCAAAACCTAGATAGGGGAAGTCGAGAGGTGGAGGTCGAGTTCGAACCACGGACATTCCGGTCATTAAATTCGCGCTCTAACCACTTGGGCCATCTCGCCCCC